AGCGGCCGGCCGAAGGCTCTGAACAGGGCGCCTGCGCCGCAGTTAGGCCGAGGGGGTGGCGCCTGCGCAGTCAGGAGCAGGCCGTGTCTCCCCGTCGCTGGGCGCGGTGAGGCGGGAAGGGCGCTGTGCCGCTAAGCCTCTGGGGCTGCAACCTGGATACGTGAGACGTGGTTCAAGGCACTTATAGAGTCCATGAGCAGAGCAGTCATTTCTTGCTAACCATACTCCATGTACACTGATGTGTGCTCCTTCCTCTTGTGCAGCTAGCTGACACCAACTGAAATTTACATCCACTATGACAGCAGATCTTTAAATACCTCGTTTTACCAATTCTACAATAAAGACATGTTGTAACGTTTCGTGGATAGGGTGGTAAAGATGAGACAGGAATTACTTTACCCTGGTTGTCTACATTACATCACCCTATACCAGGGTTCCCAAACTTTGACAGATTGAGCACCACCAATTTAAAACCATACAATCTTAAGTACCACCAGCAAATTTTTGTCATATAATAAATCTGTTAATGCGTACTAATGACAGGTTGTCTGCATACCGCTGGTGGTACCCATGCCACGGATTGGTGAACTATTGACCTACCATAGGCCCCAACCTACTTTTGCAGGGGGAGGAGTGTGGATGATGCTCCCCCCTCCAGAGGCATGGGAGAGTAGAGCCAAGGAGTCTGTAGGGGGCAGGGACAGATGTGGGCTGCCTGCTGCAGTCTCAGACTCCCCACCCTGCTGCCTTCCCCCCAGAAGCCCCATACTGGTCATGCCCCCACTGGTGCTGGGTGGACAGGGGTGCCTTGCCATGGCGGTGCAGCTGATTCAGGGCTCCCAGGGAGAAGGCAGCACAGCGGGGAGCCAGGAGTCTGCAGGGGCAGTCCATATTTGGCCTGAGCACAAATCTAGCTTTTTAGTAGTGCGCAGTAGCATTGCCAGGCATGAACCAAGACGTGATGCTACTATGCAGTAGTAAGCAGCTACCGCACAGTAAGTGTCGCTAGACAACTGTGCCAGGATGCTATTGTGTAGTAACTCTGGTTACTGTGCAGTCATTTAATACTTGGTCATGCAAGTACTAAATGCCCAGTAACAACTGTGCAGTTAGCGCCTTGTGTAGACAGCCGTTGAGTTGACTTGATCTTAGCCCAATGTGCCACTGCACTCAGAAGTGGTGCTGGGGGTGTGTCTTGGCCCTTGAAAGGTGGAGACCCCCTGAGCTGGACTTGACATAGAGTCCCATGAGACTCCTGAGGTCAAATGTTGGACACCTCAGGCCAGCGGTTCTTTACCAGGGCGCTGCTAAGTTCAGAAAAAGTCTAGAGGCAGCTTGGGACAAGGTGGAAATGCAGTGACCTGAAGGGCTGGCTCACATGGCAGGCAGCTCCGAGACCAGGGCTGAGATCCTTGCAGCATCTTCTTCCTGCCCCAGGGGGGTCTGATACCCGCCTCCTGGCCTCAGGGTAGTGTTGCAGCACAGAGCAACAGGGCCGGCAAGTGAGATGTTTTGCTCCTAACCCCCACAACCAATCTTGCACCAGGGGCTGACTGCCCTGGTGCCCCCGGGCTCGGACCACCTGTGGCAATGCGGAACCCACTTTTTAAGTGCAGCAAGACTGAGTAGTTGTTGAATTTGGCTTATTTCTTCTTCATGTTGTGAAGTGTCCATTTCAACAGCAAAATTTGGCATCTTCCATGTTTCCGTGGTGTTGGTTGTAGCCATGTTGGTCTAAGGACATAAGCGGACAAAGTTACTGGAGGAAATGTGGTATCTTTTATTAGACCAACCAAGTAGACTTGCTCTTAGCCCATGAGTGAATCACAATGTGCCACTGTGTTAAAAAATGGTGCTTGGTGGTGCTGGGAGGGAAGGGGGGGATTGTGTCTTGACTCTGGAAAGGTGGAGACCCCTGAGCTGGACTTGGGATAAAGTCTCTTGAAACTCCTGTAGGAAAATGTTGGATGTCTTAGGTTCTGTGCCAGGGCACTGCTAAGTTCAGAAAAGTTCTGGAGGCTGCTTGGGACATAACAAGGTGGAGACCCACTGAACTGAACTGCTGGCTCACACTGAAGGCAGCCCTCATGGGGAGGGCAAGGCAAGGCCTTATGTGACGCATCAGTTATTCTGTCTATAAGTCATATTTGATGAATGATACAATTAATATTAAGGCCAGTATTTTTTAAAGTAGACTGAGCTGACTTCAGGGTGACCCCTTCAGCCAAGGTAATTAATACATCAAGCCCAGTGTGAAAGATCTGTCACAAATAACCGTATCTTAGTTGACGATGATGAAATACAAGGATGGAACAGCAATTAATACACTCCTGAATAATTTGCAGACAGGCTGTGCATTACTTTGCTTGAGGAGGAGGTTGGGATAACAAGCAAAGCAGACACAAGAAAATCACAGGATTCTGGCAGACAATGGTGCCACCTGAAATCTCGAGGCATGTGGGTCTGAGAGGCTCACAGCCAAAAGCAGAGGGAGGCGAAAGAAATGTCTATAGTTGCAAAGCAGCTATTTGTAAAGGTACTGTAAGTAACCCAACACAAATCCAGCTACATTAATTTTGGATACTTTTTTTGTACACGCCTTTGTTTTGCTTCCCACCCCGCCCCCCGCTGATTCTTAATAAACCAAACTGGTCGTTAGACCGCCGGCATCCAGCACGCCGGCCACAGGCACGCGGGGTACCCGAGCGAGCCCCCGGGCAGTCAGGCCAGGATATGCCCCGCAGTCACACTGATTTACACCCTTCAAACCGTAACGCTCCCGCCCCAGCCCTGGCTGCGCGGAGGCAAGGCACTAATCCGGATCATTCCCAGGCCTGTGGCCTGGGCTTTGCTGCTAAATCAAGGGCTGGAAACGAAACGAGCCGGGTGCAGCACAAGCGGTGCCTGTAGGACATCCGCCGCGGCTGCGCGTGTGCAAAGAGGGAGATAGTCCGCACATGCGCTGTCCCCTGCCCGGCAAGGGGGTTGCGGGATTTGTGTCTGGCCGCGCGAGGTGGGGCCAGCTGGGAGCGGAAGCGACGCCGCGATGCCTGGCAGCCCGGGAGCTCGAGCGACTCGGTGCCGCCGCGGACTCGGCGTCCGGGATTGCGGCACGCCCCAGCGCTAGGTGAGGGGGTCTGCAGCCGCTGCCCTTGGGCCGGCCCGGCTCGGCTCAGCGGTTGCCCCGGGGAGGGGGCGACCCAGGTGCTGCGTAGGGGCCGCGCAGGGGTAGGAAGGCCGGGCACAGGCTGGCCCCACCTGGGGGCTCCGCGCAGAGGGCGAGCTCGGGGGCTGCTCCGTCCGCAGCAGTTGTGAGGGCTCGGGTCCGAGGGGTGGGGAGGAGCTGTGTCGGGCGGCTCAGGCCGCCGCGTTGTGCCCTGCCGGCGCTGCGGTCGGTGTCGCCTTGGCTCCTGGTGAAGGCGCCCCAGTCACCGCGTGCCGCCGGCCGCTTTGTGCCCTCGGGTCCCCCGCATTTAAGCCCTTGGATTGCTGCGCCCCTGTGTTGGTTTGGAGTGAGGGGGGGATTTCGTTATCCCTTGTGTTTCCTTAGCACGCTGGCTTCTGTCATCTTTCTTCTGGGTGGCTGTCGGGGCTGAGCTTTGTACTTCAAATACTCCTGACTACAGTCTCTGAGCCTCTTATTATCTGTAATATATTTACACCTTCCTTTTCCCCCTTGTAACACGTCTTAGAGGTAGGAGAGTGCTGTTGCTTTTTTCATGCTTTGGTCTAAATGGAATGAATTATTTTTATAAGTGGATCCGGCTAACTATAGGCCCATCAGCCTGACTTTTGTCTTGGGCAAGATCTTAGAAAAGTTTATTAAAGAGGCCATCCTTAATGGACTGGCCGATGCCAACATCCTAAGGGTTAGCCAGCACAGGTTTGTTGCGGGTAGGTCTTGCTTGACCCATCTCATTTCCTTCTATGACCAGGTGACCTATCACCTGGACAAGGGAGAAGAGATTGATGTCATATATCTTGACTTCAAAAAGCCTTTGATCTGGTATCCCGTGATCACCTCTTGGCAAAACTGGCCAATTGTGGCCTTGGGTCCACCATCATCCGCTGGCTGGGAAATTGGCTCCGTGGTCGGACCCAGAGGGTGGTAATTGACAGAAATCAACCATTGTGCTGCCCTGTGACCAGTGGGGTCCTCCAAGGCTTTGTCCTTGGACTCATATTGTTCAGCATCTTCATTAATGATGTGGACATTGGAGTCAGGAGCGGACTGGCCAAGTTTGCCGATGACACCAAACTTTGGGGCAAAGCATCCACGTCAGAAGACAGTCGGGTGATCCAGGCTGACCTGGACAGGCTCAGCAAATGGGTGGATGAGAACTTGATGGTGTTTAACACTGAAAAATGCAAGGTTCTCCACACTGGGAAGAAAAACCTGCAGCACCCTTACAGGCTCGGCAGCACTACAC